GTTGCGCGGGACACTTCAAAGTCGCAATTTTTCTTCAGTTTTTAACGTCCAACGTCCATTTCGTGCGTAAGGGTTGCGATTGACAACTCAAAGTCGCAATTTTTCCTCAGTTTTTGACGTCCAACGTCCATTTCGTGCGTAAGGGTTGCGATTGACAACTCAAAGTCGCAATTTTTCCTCAGTTTTTGACGCCCAACGTCCATTTCGTGCGTAAGGGTTGCGATTGACAACTCAAAGTCGCAATTTTTCCTCAGTTTTTGACGTCCAACGTCCATTTCGTGCGTAAGGGTTGCGCGGGACACTTCAAAGTCGCAATTTTTCCTCAGTTTTTGACGTCCAACATCCATTTCGTGCGAAAGGGTTGCGCGCGACGCTTCAAAGTCGCAATTTTTCCTCAGTTTTTAACGTCCAACGTCCATTTCGTGCGAAAGGGTTGCGATGGACAAAGTAAAATCGCAATTTTACCTCAGTTTTTGTCGTCCAACGTCCATTTCGTGCGAAAGGGTTGCGTTTCGTGGCGCTCCGGCGGCACCGCCCCCGCCTAAAGAGAGAAATAGAAGAAGAGCGAGAGGAGATCTGCAGATGTGAAGGTGTGAAGATGTAGATCGGCAGATGTGAGGGTGTGAAGATGTAGATCTGCAGATTTGAGGGTGTGAAGATCTAGAACTGCAGGTGTGAGGGTGTGAAGATCTAGATCTGCAGGTGTGAGGGTGTGAAGATCTAGATCTGCAGATGTGAGGGTGTGAAGATCTAGATCTGCAGATATGAGGGTGTGAAGATCTAGATCTGCAGATGTGAAGGTGTGAAGATCTAGATCGGCAGATGTGAGGGTGTGAAGATCTAGATCTGCAGATGTGAGGGTGTGAAGATCTAGATCTGCAGATGTGAAGGTGTGAAGATCTAGATCTGCAGGTGTGAGGGTGTGAAGATCTAGATCTGCAGGTGTGAAGGTGTGAAGATGTAGATCTGAGGTTGAGGTGTAGATCCTAGATCTGCAGGTGTGAGGGTGTGAAGATCTAGATTTGCAGGTGTGAGGGTGTGATGATGTAGATCTGCAGATGTGAGGGTGTGAAGATCTAGATCTGCAGGTGTGAGGGTGTGAAGATCTAGATCTGCAGATGTGAGGGTGTGAAGATCTAGATCAGCAGATGTGAAGGAGTGAAGATCTAGTATAACGGCTGCTTTTTTACGAAGAACCCTTCGCAGGCGCTCTCGGGAATAAAACCTATATTTCATAACTTAACAACTAAACTAACTTTCAAAAAATCAAGAAAATATTGGCTAAAACAAAAATCTGACAAAGATAGTTCAGAACGGTTCCGAACGGTTCCGAACTATATATAAAAAAATACGGTGTAATATAGCTCAGAACGGTTCCGAACGGTTCCGAACTATATATAAAAACATGCAGTGTAATAAAGCTCAGAACGGTTCCGAACGGTTCCGAACTACATATAAAAAATAAATCAAAGATATAGTTCAGAACGGTTCCGAACGGTTCCGAACTACTTATTAACATATCTTATATATAGTTCAGAACGGTTCGGAACGGTTCCGAACTATATTTGCTGCATGTTTTATATATAGTTCAGAACGGTTCGGAACGGTTCCGAACTATTTTTACATCGGAACTATTTGGAACTATTTGGAACTAATCGGAACTCATTGGAACTAAAAAGGTTTTGGACGCATATATAGTTCAGAACGGTTCCGAACGGTTCCGCGCTATATATAAACAGAGTTTATGTATAGTTCAGAACGGTTCCGAACGGTTCCGAACTATATTTAAAGCATATCTTATATATAGTTCAGAACGGTTCCGAACGGTTCCGAACTATATTTGCTGCATGTTTTATATATAGTTCAGAACGGTTCCGAACGGTTTTGAACTACTTCTGCAACTTGTTTTTATATATAGTTCAGAACGGTTCCGAACGGTTCCGAACTACTCTTCGCCAAAAAAAAATATAGAGTTCAGAACGGTTCCGAACGGTTCTGAACCAATACTGAGATGGTTTGTGTTTTTTTCATTTTTTTTCATTTTTTGTTTTTTTTCTGTCTTTTTTTCAGCCAACATGACAAAGTCAATCAAGAAACCGTTACAAACTTAGAAGTTATAAGTCGTTTCCCCCTTGGTCAAAATCTTAAGATGACATGGTTAGAATGTGGCTTGGCAAAAAGGGATCTTGGAAAGAGCAGACGGAAGTATCATCCCATCCCACCACTGTCGAAGCAAAGCTGAGTAACAACCAAAGAGGCAAACTGGATATTCAGGCTCTCTGCTTCTCGGGTGTTAAGCATGGCCTTCTGGTGTGGCTCCAGATGGGACTCAGTGTAGAACTCCATCCCGCTTCCCAGCCCCAGCTTCTTCTGGCAATCCTTGACAAATTGCTGGCGTCGTTTGGATGCACTGATCACACCATCCTGGGAGCACAGGCTGACGAAACGCAGGGAATTTGTGGGTGTTTGACCTGGGGTCTGCCTAAGGTCTGTGGCGGACCTGGCGGCCAGTCCTCGAGAGGATATACCGAGATCGGTTTTATATATAGTTCCGAAGATTTTATATATAGTTCCAAAGGATTTAAATATAGTTCCGGTATATAGTTTAGTAAGGGACATTTTTTGACAATCCAGGACAGCAGTGGTTTTGGTGTTCCGGAAAACTGCCGGGAAAAAAGTCCACACTTAGAGGTCGTCTCACTTAGGAGGACCGGCGTCAGGCTGAGGTATAAACCAGGGCCCGGGACTGTTAAAAGATGATGTGTCTAGGCCACACGCGCTTTTTGCTGCTCAGGGTCCTTGGCTGCAGGAGGGAAATGCAACTTGTAGCCCGTCTTGTACTCGGAAGTGATCTCCACATGGCCCCGCACATCGGCCAAACCTGTCCTGACAGGAAAAACTTGGGTCAAAACATCCTCAATGGACTTCACCACGTCATTGAAGACTTGGTAGGAAACCAAATCTTTGCGAGCCATCAAAATGTAGACCCGACGGCGGCTCTGTGGCAGCCCGAAATCGGCAGAACTCAGTGGCTGCCCGGGCTTGGACCGCTGAACTAGACTAGACTAGGTTGATGTTCTCAAAAACTAGATACAATGTGTGGATGTACAAGTGGACTTTGATTTCGTTTTCAGATTGAGCTCTTGTAAGCCACCAAGAAAGTAACTCATCGCAATTGACAATTGTGCAACTTTCTGAGCTACGAATACCTCTCTTTATACTGTACGAATGAAGTTTTACAGGGTCCGTCCATATCATACGACGCAAGAGTAAATCAACTTACTCAGACGACGCCTAAACTTTAACCTTTTTCCGGGAGATCACCCACTGAATAAGTCAATGTCAATATGGAATAGGAAGAGAAAATCTGAAAATGATTCTGGTGATAGCACGGTAAGGTTTAGTCATGAATCACAAGCATCCAAGTGTCTGGTGAGCGAGGTTTACTAACTTCTCGAATCTCCCAATTCATACAGTATGAATGAACGTAACAATGATACTGTCAGTATGCTATGGCACCCTGCATCTGATGGTCAAGGAACTCAAGGTGGATTTCCTACAAGAAATAGCCATCGATCAAAGCCAGTCCCACAGGCTCGTCTCCAAGGAAACCGCGCAAGATGAAGTCGATCGGGGCCTGCAGGAATGTCACAACCAAACTAGAAGATAGGAACGCAAAATGATACCAACTACTTGGTTGTTACAAGTTGAAGATATTTTGCTACCAAGGATCTGTCACATCAACCATTTATAAATGTGGAGCCTTAGGGCAAATTTCAGCAGAAGGCTTGGAGCAACACATGGGGGAAAAAAACTTTGGCCGGCCAGTTTTGCGAGAACTTTGCTTGAGAAATTGATATTTCCCAGTTTTCTCCGCAACAGAGTCGCACTGAGATCGACAAGATTCGTGAAATCATCAGAAATCATACAACATACATGTTGATATCTTATACATGGCCCCTGAAATTCCTGAGATTCTAAATAAATTTCCTGAGAATTTATATATAGTTCCTGAGAATTTATATATAGTTCCTGAGAATCTGTATATAGTTCCTGAGAATTTAAATATAGTTCCTGAAAATTTATATATAGTTCCAGATAGGGGGGGCTGTGGAACAGATAAACAGGCCACAGCACCCCCCAATATATATATATATATATGCTTGCATTCTGCTGTGGAGACCCCACACTTACATACACTTTGAACATCCGATTTTGGATTGCGCTGGAATATTCATTCAACTACGCTTTAGTGTTGATGTACAAAGGGATTCCAATTGTGCTTCAGGTTAAGTTCACATCTCAAAGATTTCTGAATCAAATCAGAGGATTACCCGTTCCACATTGGATTCAAAATTCGGCTGACAGTTATACTATAGGTATATATATATATGTGTGTGTGCTTGCATTCTGCTGTGGAGACCCCACACTTAGAACATCCCAAAGGCTTACCTACATCATCCCAACATGAGACGACATCTACCTCATTGCCATTGTTGAAAGAGCTACAGGAAGTGTACTCTACCTCATTGCCAGTGTTGAAAGATCTACAGGAAGCGTACTTTATCCCAGGGCCCCGAAACAAGGTTATGGCTGCAGTCAAAAATCAATTTCATCCTATACGTATAAATATTTCATGCAGCATTTATCGAACTATATAAACGTACACATGAAAGCGATTATAGCGACGGACAATCACCTAGAAAATCATTTTCTGAATTTTTCCAATCTCACAATTTAGAACCGCTGTCTGGCGAGTTTCGAACAAAGGCATCAAAATTAGGTTGAAATGATTGCTATGCGGCAAAAAATGAAATGCGCGCAGGGTTGATGATGTGATAATGTATGATGATGTTCAAAAGCAATCATTAGCTTGCAAAGGCTCCACACTTAGAATATCAGGGTGCAATATTACTCAGATGTTCTATTCTAAGTTGACGTTCTAGGTGTGGGGCAAAATCCTTAAACAAGCGGTTCTAAGTGTGAGCTCGGGAATTTTGGTAAATATGTTCTAAGTGTATGTCAACCACTATCATTATGTCAATGGATATTTGTAAATTTGTGTATGTCGTAATGTCTTGTGATGTTCTAACTGTGGTGACTTTCGCATGTTCTAAAACATAGCTCTCAGTGTAGTCAATTTTTCCCCAAAATATGTTCTAAGTGATTGTCCGTCGCTATAATATTGTCAATGGGTTGGGCCCCGCACACTTCATGATAGTAGGGAGTAGTTGGCCAGGCACTTCCCCATCACAGTCGCGCTCAGGGGTCTTCAAAACAGTTTTTCTTGGAATGAGATATGTACATCGGATGTAGACAAGCCACGGCATGTGATACTTCAAGTTGTCGTGCCAACACTCAGGTGGGCAAACCACTGCAGCATTCTCAGACTTCCATATGTTAAGCTCACATGGGGACCACCTGTGAACCTATCCTATCTGCATTTGTTTGGTGTTCCACTTTATCAGGAAAGCTGGAATGTGATCTATCACGTTCCCTCCTGCCTCTTCGTGTTTTTTTTGCTTTATTATGTTTTTTTGCATCGTGCCTCTCCCTTTCGATTCCTTCTTGTTCCTTCTCTTGTCCTACCCCCCCTTATGTTCACAAGCAACATCTTTCCCGAAAAATATTCTATTCGTGCAAGTTGAGATGTTGGAATAATTATGGCACAATTATTTTAAAACCCTGACCTTGCTTGGACTTAAGCAGGCTCAATTTTGCCAAGCAAAGGGGAACAAGGAAGCGCAGTTTGCTCTGACACTGCATTGAACACTAAAATGGTACTGCAACGGTCTCTCTACATGTACCCAGGTCATTTCAGTCGAATGCCTCCCAACCCTCCTTTTCTCATCCTTTCTCCATGTTTGTTTGCTTTGCAGTTCACCAAGTTCACCCCTTTGTACGCACCGAACCTCCCGTGTTGACCTTTTGATATCCTTGAGCTACTTTCAAAATCTGTCAAAACCATTCCCAACATACAGTAGTGCCCCAGTGCCGTCCATGTTGTTTTCGATGTATCCTTGTTCCTTTCCAGTTGTGTCACTGGGTTACCGAAAAAATGCGTAGCGTTCATGTTGCTTGTCATTTTTTTTTTGAAGCAACCATACCGACTTTGAGATGGCCGCACCTTTCGGAGTTGCTACATACCCAAGGTCGCGGATGCAGCAGTACGAGCCACTGCAATTTGATTCAACTGAAAGATGCCCTGGTACTTCTAGAAGCTGAATATAGATGAATATAGCTGAATCATCCAAGTTTGAGTAGCGTTTTTATTTTTTTGTGGCGTGAAGCCAAGACGCATACTCGCCTCTCCCCTTCCTTTGAAGAAATGCCAATGACTTATCAAAAGACTGCTGCGTTGTCAAGTGCTGATTCACCTTCCAACTCCTAAATTTCAGGATTTTGATCATTCTTTGCATGTGAGCTTGCAGGAATGATGTTCACTTGCAGGCCTCATTTCGGCCCACAGCTGAAGAAGTATTCCAATAATACAAAGTAATACATAGTAATATAGTAATATACATTTCAACCATGTTTACTCTTGCAAGTCATAAATCTGATTGCAGCTTGAGCTCAGAGGGTGCTGCTCAGACTGAACCTAAACCGATCCTACGCATTGCGAACCAGATCCTACCAGCACAGGTTTGGGGTGAGCTGTGCACACGTAGAAGAGAGAGGGAGAGATTAAGATTTTGCCAGATTGCAACACATAAACTCACAGGGCTTCCTGCGGAGGGAAAGGAAGGAAGCATGTGCAGTCAACTGCAGAGGCAAGGATTCATGTGTCATGACTGCTTTGGGCAAGCTAGTTCTGCTTGCTTTATTCAAGTTGAGCGTGACAGAGAGCGTTTGTTACAACATCGTTGGCAGTTTGCATCCTTTGGCTGCGGAGTGCTTGCCTCAGGGATTTTGGTGAAGACGTATGCTAGGCTATGTCATTATATTTTGTTGTCATTCTTGTGATTGTATCATCTTTGTGATACCACTCCTTGTTTGTCACCAGCTGAGGTTTTTGCTGCTCTTGGCACATGTCGAGAATGCTCTGAAGTCTGGCCGCGCTCAGGAAGCAGACTTGGCTGCTCTGAATAACAGCGGCTCACACCAATCACGTGAGCATGACATGGCATCAGTGGCCCCCATGCCTTGTTATTTGCATGAAAAGACTTGCATAAACATAATTTGCGTGCTTACAGATGCTCACGGCTAGCTGAAGGGTAAATGAATTGTTGCCATGTTTTCAATTTTGCTGTTGTGAGAGATGGATGACAGTGCATAGCAGACACTTGTCATGAAGCAATTTAAATCTTTGAATGTGGGTCTCAAAGCGCTCAGAACTTATGGAAATATAAATATATAATAATATACATATATATATATATTATGTTGCATATGCATATGTTCAACAGGTGCTTCCAACTGTTTGG